TAATTCTTGGTGGATTTTAGCGGTAAATATTATGATCGTAGAAATTGTAATTGGATTCTTCGGAAATATTTTGTCTCTGATTGTATGGAATCGAGGGAGAGAGTGCTGCAAGATGGCGTGCTCTATATACTTCAAAATACTAGCTTCAAGAGATTTACTTACAATCATAAGTTTCCAGATCGGAATCGTCATTCCACATTTCTTTGATATCTCCGACACGAGTTATTGTAGCATAATGGGGCGTATTTCTGCTGGTCTGATACCTTTTGCTCCACAACTCTCGGCATGGGTTATCTTTAGCATTGCACTAGAGCGCATGCTAAGCATATGCTTTCCATTTAGGTTTCGTAGGGAGGGCTTATGACGGAGGGCATGGTTATCTTGCATTGTAATCATTGTTGTGCTTTTAGGACTAAATTATGATGAATATATCTGTAGAAATTTTGCTATGGAAAAAGTGTTCAGCATCAGTATGTGTACATGTATTGATGAAAGCAGTGCAGGTTTTGGACAAGTGTCCATTGTTTGGTTTCTGTGCATTCTACATACATTTCGCCAACCATTCAGGTTCGCTTCTAACTATCTTATCAACAAAACATTTTGCAACGATTATTATGTTATTTTGAGATATTTATAAATGGTAATTAAAAACGCAATAACACAAGATTGCATCAACAACAAATTCATGATTTGGCATTAAGCACACTTTTTCGTTGTCAAGTTGGGCTTTATTAACAATATATTTCTAAAGATTGACTGTTATTATGGTGATTGACCAGCAAATGATTGGAATATGGTTAGGGGATTTTAATACAAATCTACCGAAAATATAAAAAGACTACCTCTCTATTTTCATAAATCGATGCTGGATGTTAACAGAAATTAAGGCAAATTATAAAACTGAAAGGAATTAAGACAAATGGAAACTTATTTTGACTTTCACTCGCTCACTCACTCTATACCCCTAGATGGACATGTCATAATGTATTAGTTGTATAACTGCTATGGATTTACCAAAATATCATTTTACATCGTAAAATTGTAAAAATTAATACATTGTACATGTCAAAGAGAAATTTCATTGTCTCGAAATTTAATTCTCTGTAACGCTATTTTGATTATAAATGCCGTTTATACCGTTTGTTATGTTCGTTTTTCTACAACAATGCACTCAAAATTGATATCTATTCCCTAATTTGAATACAGCAAAATAGTGTCTTTTGGGAAGATGATTATCCATATTTTCGTTTTAAAGTAAACAACAAAATTGCTTGCAACTAAATCATTGTGTTACATATGTATTTGAAAGCATTCCGGTCGCACACATCTTTTTCGAGGTTTTAATACCAATTTGAAAGTAAATAATATCCATTATCTCATTTATGTCATATTCTTCATTATATCAGAGAAACAATATTGTAACCACCATTGGCTTTTTGTGGTAAAATGATTATTTGCTGATAACTGCAGATATCGCTTAACTATCCATGTTTTTGTAAAGATTTTCTACAGGAACTTGACATTTCGATGAGGGTTGCCTTTAATGGTCAAGAATTGCAGCCACGTTTATCCCTGCATGTTCGCACGAGGCGACTATAAGGGTTCGAATAACTAGAGTCTATGCATTTCTTAACTCCTGCATGTGAGGTTGTTTTGACCCCTGGTGGTGCTTGATGCTTGTAACACCCGAAGTTAGCCGACAACATCTTTCACGTTGCGGCGCCATATGACGTATACTGTGTTTGTGCGCCGTAAACCAAGAAATAAATATTTATGAGTATGTAAGTCAGAGACAGTGTGAACGTATTTGTGTTCATTTGGCTGTTATAATAGATTCATACATTTGCAAAAATTGCAGTTTGTATAATTATAAAGTGTTATCTGCTTTATATTCTGCATCTTACGAATTTATTCAACAACAAAACAGAAATAAGAAATAGAGCAGCTTAATTTACACAGTGATACACAGGTGTTTGACTATCGTGCAGTAATTCAGTACAATATAATTATATAAGAATATGTTTTTTTGCAATATTGACCTTAGACTTTTGAATATTCAATGTCCTTTTGTCGGTAATTGTCGGATTCCGAAGTTAATCATACGGATTTTTTAAGTATGGCATAAAGGTAAACATGGTTTATGTATAACTTAATGTCATTAATACCGAAACAACTCGTGCCTGACTAACCTATGTGATAAGTAGTAAATACTTTTAGTTTCATATTGAAGGTTGTAGGTTCGTATCTTAATGAAAGCTTTCATTGAATCTTATTCTTTTATTTTTTTGGAAAATTGACTTCTGAGTTTTTGTGCATATACTCGCCAATTGTACGACTGTACAAATTGAAATTATGAAAATTTCTATCTACATGTATATATTATCAAGTTATGATTTTTGAAAAGAAAAGGCACAGAAAATCAAAAATAATGATTCATCCACTAATTCTTCACATAATTTAAGATGATTAAAGAAATATGAAAAATATAGTTTATTGAGGATTTGTACTAGCAACTTCGCGATCGCTATGCTACCATACTTTCGACTAGGTAAACGGGACATAAGTATAAGACAAAGTATCGAGAACTTTCCTATCATTTAAATAAATTAGTAAATCGTAATAAATTACAGAAACTAACAAACACGCTTCCGAAAATTAACGAGTATCGGGTCAGTATTTCCAAACAATACTGCACAATTAGGATAACAATAAGGTGACGCGATGGTCAAACCGTCATCATATTGAACTGGTATCGAATAATATACAAGGTGATGACAAGCATGATATCTGTAAAAGTTTAATGATTGGCTTTTTTCGCAATATTGACTTGATAAGTTTTGCTAAAGATTATAAAAGATAATTTTCATTATTTCTTGCATGTGTCTTATCCTTTAATTCATAGTTATTTTATTTTTCATTTTATATCTTATTGTGTTTCGTTGATACTTTTTGCATTACAATGGACACTTCTTCATGAATCAAACAGGAATTTTTGTACATAATGCAGTAACGATACCGTTTAACAAACTTTGGCAACGATTGGTTCAGTCAGAAGGAAACATAGAGAAAATAAGTTATCATTTATCATTAAGGTTAATTTGCATCGTTTCACTCGTTATGAGAGTAAGCTGTTGCAAATGTCAAATAAGTTATTACATGCCAGTCATAATGTGGATGCTACTTCAGGAAAATATCAGTTTGATGTAATTATCAGGGTGACATTTCCTGTTATCGTTTAAATGTATGGCTTATAGTCATTTTGAGCTGTTTACAATGGATACGACCTTTATAATGTTTTGAATATCATAGCGGCTTTCTTTCCTATTTCTGTAGCATTTTCGATATTAAACAATCAGAACTTTCTGATTTACTGTTTCAGTGGAACAAACTTTCGCTCGGACCTAAAAGAAATGGTCTTTACATGTAAATGTTGGTCCATTTCAGGTTCTTCTTACATTTTGTCAAAGACAACATCGCAAATTCAAATGTTACCAGTATCTACTAAATTGAACTTGTTAAATCAATATTCAAAGATAAAGAACTCATGAATTATTTCATGAATCTTAATTGTTTTGAAACTTTGTAAGAACTTATAGGACATCAGTGTATTTCCACTTGCTATATATATTCAAATGATACTTATATATGTTGATTATATTGAAATATAAAAAGTACTGATTTTTTATATTAGTGTAATAATTTAAAGAAAATGGTGATGCTGATATCTTCAAAAAACAATCAAGTAATGTTTGTTTAGGGGCCAAATTTTAATTGACAAGAAGAGTGTTTAATAATGTTGTCTTGTGAGTGTGTGTGTGTGCGTGTGCGCGTGCGCGTGCTTGCGTGTGTTGGTGTGCTTGCGTGTGCGTGCTTGCGGGCGCGTGTGTGTTTATATACTGTAAAGAGGGCCAATAAGTTATGTGTGTTTCACGATGGTATATCTTATTGTGTTACCCTTTGGAAATAAATTATTATTATAATAATTATTACTACTATTATTATTATATTATCCCCTCCCCATGTTCCATTCGTCATAGAGTCAGTTATATATTATTTTGTTGCGGACGATGTGTCGCTTTTATCTAGTAGCACATATTCTAAAATTTTAAACAGTTAAATCATGATAAAGATAGTTATAACTGTGATTAAATTTGAGTAATTGTATATTGCAACTTGATGCCATCTCTGTTATTGAAACGATTTTCTACAGGAGCTTAACATTTCGATGAGGGTTACCTTTAATGGTCAAGGCATAATAATTGCAGACACCGTTTATCTCTGTGTGATCGTACGAGGCGACTATAAAGGTTCGAATAACATGAATAACTGGAGTCTCTTAGCTACTGCATGTGAGCTTGTTTTGACTCTCGTTAATTAATTACCTTTGCTTGCATTGTAGAATAAAAGCACGGTTTATTGTTCAAATGCCTTGTTATTAATAACACCGACAGGCCTATCAGGAACTCGCACAGTGCATTTTTCTACAAAATGCACACAAATGGTATCTATTCCCATTATTAAATAATACTAGAATATAGTGCCTTGTATCTTATTTATTTTCGGAAGATGTTTACCGCTATTTTTGTTTTAAAATAAATGGCTATTATTATACAATTGCTTGCAATTTTATCATTGTGTTACGTATGTTAATGAAAAAAGTACAGTCAAAAGTATCTTTTCCGATGTTTTAATATCACTAATAATTGATAATAAACAAAGATCTCATTCAATTCATATTTCTCTGTATATAAGCGAATAATGTGCCATAATTATACCATTGTCGTCTTTTTGTCGTAATGCTATGAAGATATTAAGGAATGCACACTTAAAATTTTATTTTGCTGAAAACTGGAGAACTCACTCAACATATCCCTGTTTGAAATACTCGGTTCTGAAATAGTTTACTTATGTATGTTGCAGTCATTGATAAACAATTATAATAGTATATTAAAGTAATGTTTCTTCGTCGGTTTTACAAATGGTCTTGAAATAATACTCACAAAGTCATATTTTGAAGTTCTCCATATTTTGGGTAATTCCAGCACTTGCAGAATAAGGCTACGTAATGCAGCCACAATAATCGCTGATAAAACGCACTGAAATAATTGAATAATAAAATGTCACTATGACGTTTACATTGCTTTTATAACCGCAATCCGATTCAAATTATAAGAAAATAAGTAGATCTGAACTTTATTCAGATTGTTCATAGCCAAGTCATTAATCATATGAATTTGAATTTTAAATAAATAGGTAAATTTAGTCCCACTGCAAAGATGACTATTCATTTTTTGTAACGGCAATCTGATATCAAGTTTTTTGAAGTCGATGCGGTCAATATTTTTCTGTGTAAAGAAAAGAACATATCTTTGGCTTTGTGGGGATATATTTCACATTCGGTAGAGATTCAAGCAAAGGTCCGAGCCAGAGTATCACGATGATTACCATACTGGCGGAAAAAAACTTGCAATCTGAAAACATAACAAAAAATATCTAATTATGATATGCATTTGTATAAAAGATTACGTTGATTATGACTACAAGCACGCTACGGTTAAAGACGATACATAAAAAATACACATTTTCTGATAACACACATCAACATCAAAGTTAAGATCATAAACTTTAACTGTGGAAAATGGGGTTCAAACATTGTTATAATGGAATGGAACGAACCTGTGCTTTTCCACCGGCAGAATCATGTGCAGAACTTCTCGACACGGAGGCAGCGTAAGGGTAGCACGAGAAAAATGATCCGAATACATTTCCAGCTTCGTACGCTATCAACTCCTGAAACAAAATTAATAAAAATAGTAAATGATAAAAAAAAACAAATGTAAAATATAGTTTTTCATAACTTTATCAGTCATATGTGTTTTAAATTTACAGAGATATAGACACATGTTTGCATTAAAGGTTATATCTATACAATATATTCCTGCTTAAAGCAAGGTCTTCCAGTTTTTCAAAACAAGCTCTCTTGCCTGATTTAAAGGTAAATTGGATATCAACACTCTGAATAAGGGTCGGTGCAATAAGGTTTTTACATTTTCTGATGATAAAAAAATAAAACATTGGTTTCTTTACATGAATTAATTTTGATTAACCGTGACTTGTACTTAGCATCTATATTAAATTAGAACAAATTCTATGCCATCTAGATCAATGCCATTTGCTAAAAATTCTAAAGGATAACATGACTGTTTTAACCTTACATAACATTATCATTAAGAATACTTATACATGTGATTCAAAGTGACATTATGACCATGCAAGTGTAAATGGTCATTGAACAAATTAACATAAAAATAATTTGACATTTTGTCATAATTGTGTTATACTTTTATAATAATCAATGACAAAAAAGCATGAATCCTCATAACCAACAGAAATTTAAATAAATATTGTTCAGAATGTATCAATAATGCTCAATTCATAAAAAGAGTGGGGAAGTTTTTTTATATAATTTAGCTATATATCTGTGAATTTAGGTAGTTTTATAATTATTGTATCAATAACATTTTTCGCTACCAATTATTGATCAATCACCATTATAAAAGTCAATCTTTTTTAATTATATTGCTAATTATACTCAACTTGACAGTGGAATAATGAGCATAATGTCACTTCACAAGTGTTGACAGCGTTTCCTTACCTGGTTTGCATAGATGGCATATTTATTTTTCTTCGCCATCATCGACGCAAGCGATACAGATTGAGCAAAAAAGATTCAAGCGATGATTGGAATATCGGCAATATATTTATCCACACCTTCAAAAGATGGCAGTGCAGGTTCCGGAAGTCTAAAAGAAAATCATGAACATTTTGGGTGATCAAACTATACGGGCAGAATAGAATAGATGTAGAATAGATTAGGGAATGGATGCAAACAAGAGAGTGTCGATCTAATTTATTTTTAAACAAAGTAAAATTTTGGCAAAATTATCATAGTTTTATTTACAATTATACAACAGTTTTCAAATGAAAAATAATGTTTTATATTTTATAATCATTTATATTCTTTTTATATCAAAAAAAAAATTGCGCACACTGTTTTTATGTTATGGCAAATAAACAAAGGGATTGAGTGAAACGTCATCAAAATATCATCCTTCAGGACAGAGACTAAAATAATAACATACCAAAGTATACTCAGACAAAAATGAAATTAATTACAGCTTATTAAGTCATCACATTTTTCATTTATTTTCATTACATAAGATAACGTTTGTATTGTACACTGTATGTTCAGGTGACACTGTGACAAGTTATGTACACAGGTCACATATGAGAAAGTTGTATTTGATAGAGGTATCAAAGTCGTCTGAAAGTTTATGTTAATCATATTGGGTTTAAACTAGTCTGAATGTCGCGGTTTCTGTGACAATTTGAAACAAAAAACATTAACGTGTTAAGCCTAACTTAAGATATTACAATATTGACTTAGGTGTCTTGTGACATTTGGTTGCATAAACAACAGATTTCATTATCTTTTTAATTAATGGTATTGTTTTCGTGGTGAGTTGCCTTGCGTGCAGATATGTTTTGTATTTTGTTAACTATATTTGACATGAATTGTTTCGTTACTTTCGTTCGTTTGCTCCTTGTTAATTTGTTCTTTCGCTGCTTTAATCTGCGCATGACAAAACCTTTTATGTCACAAACATAGAAAAACCACAGACAGGAACTTGAAATTCTATTAATAATAACTAAAATCAATGATAATATCCAAAATATACCCTCGATATAGTGTTTTTTATACTTTATAGGGGGTAAATTTTGGATATAAAAAAATAAGAGAAGGGAAATAACTCCTACGAATCCAACAGGAGTTTTCTTACCTACAACATATATTATGCCAATTGCAAGACGTCGTGATTAATCGAGATAAAGGCATTGTTTGGTTGTAAAATATAATATTTCAATCACTGCTGGTAATATGAGGATCTTCCTGCTGCATGTCATGGGGAGAAGGCAACAACCGAGGCCTATGGCATCCATCCAATAAAGCCGAGCGTTATTTAGAGCTGATTTTAATCAGATTGTTCTCTTAATATACTTATAAGTAGTGTAGCTGTTCAAGGTACATCTTAACAACTTAGATATTATATTTACAATATAAAAGTAATATGTGAGACACGGATCTTCGGTTTACTATTATAGGGTACATTTACCGTTTTGTTATTCAGCAGCAAATGTAATATAAAGCAATGTGTATATAGAAAATGCAATTTTAGTATCTGAAAAGTATTGTAGGCATGATATACCGTGTTATATTGCAGTTGATCATGGATAAAGAAATCGGATGCGAAAGGATTCTGACAACAATTAATTATTTGCATGATGCGCTACCAAAGCCGAGGAATGTTCTGAGTACCTACAAGTAATTTTATCAAAATTTTTTGGTGAAGATATTTTCTTTTATTTTAGTTTTATAGTTTCTACCGAACACATGTATCAACAATTACTGAACTGTGACTTACGTTTTCTTTTTAACAGTATTTACATACAACATATACAGTCCTATGCATAAAACCAAAGATTTCCAATTTTCCCTAAAAATGTCTTATCTCTGGCCATTGGTGAACATTTAATTATAATAACATGGCTTGTCACAGTATCACTGCTTGAATGTTTAATGATCCTATCATGTTTCAAGACTGTATAATAGCTGGAGGATATAGAAAACATTTTAAATATAACGAAATTTAAGATTTTCATTTTAGTTTAAAGAGATACATACACTTATTAATAAAAAGAGTTAAAGACAAAAAACGATTGGATTACATTAAAAAGGGTTTTTAATCTGTGACCTACAACTGACAATGCAAATACTTGTGTTAATTACTTTCATATTCAAGGCATATCATGCCTCAGTGATTAAAATTATTTTTCTTTTTGAGAAGGGACAAAATAATGTTAAGTAATAATAATAATGGATTCAAAGCATTATTGATGCATATCATTCACTTTGATAGACAAAAAACAACTGAATGTGGAAAAAAATCTTAAAAGGTAGTCAAATTGAAACAAAGTAGTACTTTGACTTAAAAACCATACAAAATACCAAATCACTTTAACTATACCAATTGCCAAAGAACAGAAATAAGTTAAATTTGATGACCTTTAAGTTTGTTTTTTTTGTTTTTGTTTTTTTTGGAAACCATAGCTGGACACCAAAAGTAATAAGAGCTAGCACGCTGGACTAAAACAGTATCAAACTGTGACAAAATAATCAATTATGATAAGATATAGATTTATTTCCGTATTAGTATCAAGAAATTACTCAAATGTTGAATATTTTTGTACCTCATAATGTAAATGTGATTATGTCATTAAAAGTAAACAGCTAGAGTTAAAAACATTGTCACATATGATGTAGTTGATGATAAGAACATAGATTTGAAGTTTAAAGCCAATATCCCTTTATATGAAATAAAGACGTTAAGAGTAAAAAATAACAATATTTCAAGGACAATTAAAAGTATAAGGGGATATAATTCTGGAAATCAACTTTAAGAGATTTGCACCTTATCAAATGATGTGGACGATGATAAGAAATATATTTTTTGAAATTGATGCCTTAAGAAATAAAAAAGTTACAGATTAAATATCTAATGCACATAAACATTAATCTAAAGTATAGACGCTGACTAAAAAGTGAGATGAGTATGACAGCTCTCCATATACTTAATATAGTCGAGCTAATAATAAAAATATCACTTACTTGGTAATTTAGGTAAGAGTCTTGCACTTTGCAGTGAAAACAATCATCTGTAAATAGTGCTTTCTGGAGGTTGTGGGTCACTCAGTTACATGAGTAACAGTAACATTTTTCTATAGAACTTTATTCATTTAGAAGATGAGTTTCACTTATAAAGGTAATACATATAATTAATTTAGTAGCTAAAATTTATTTTCTGATATGAAGTAAATTTTCAAATAATTGCTAAGTTTCAAAATTCAATTGGGCTCCAGACCCATTCACAAAAGATTAGACAGAGAGAAAAACATTGATAAAAGTGAGTGTATCATGAAACCCTACATCCACAGAATTTGATCCTTCAACGTTAGGGCCGTTCGATTAGAATACAGAGGACTAATTAATGACGACAAGACCCTAAGCTCAGTGGACATGTTAATGGGAGATATACAGTTAATAGTGAATTACCAGCTGATAAACGCTTACTGAGATATCAGCAGGCTGGAAGGGTTAATGGGTAGGACTGAACCCAAACTTTCCATTTTTTCCCAAAAACTTCCTATCTCTGGTCAGTGATTAACATTTAATTATAGTAACATGGCTTGTCACAGTATCCCTGATAGCTGCACCCGTGAATGTTTTATGATCATATCATGTTTCAAGAATGTATAGTTTTAGCTGGAGGATACCAGTATATACCAGTTTAAACTATATACTATACAAGTATGATGTAACAAAAACTAAAATTTTCATTTTAAGTTTAACTTTTGCGAGATACATACAATTTTTGATAAGAGGTAACGACGAGAAAAGATTGGATTACAATAAAAAGAGGTTTTTAATCACTTACAACTCACAATGAAAAATTTTGTGTAAATTTCTTTCATATTAAAAGCATATCGTGCCTCAGTGATTTATATTATTTTTCTTTTTGATAAGGGGTAAACTAATGTTTATAACAATACATGTAATGGATTCAAAGCATTATTGATGCTGATCATTCAATTTGGTAAAAATTAGAGCTGAATGTTAAAAAAAATGTTACAAGGTAGCAAAATGAAAACAAAGTAGTATTTTGAATTCCATACACAATACTAAATCAACTTAACAATACTAATTGCCAAAGAACAGATAATAATTAAATTTGATGAATTTCAAGTTATTTTCAGGAAACCATAACTGGACACTAAAAGTAACAAGAGCTGCCAGAAGAGACAGCACACTGGACTAATTAAATACTGGACACAATAACGGAAGAACAAACCAAAAATAATCATTTATGGTAGATATATACTGAGACAAAAAAGAAACTTTCTCCAAGTTTGAATGTAGATGTTAGTACAGTTTTTCAATCCCTTTGAAACTCGATTTTTACGTTGAATAAACATATCGGGCTTTTATACGGGAATTAGCTGACCGATTTTGTAAACAAAACGAGTTTTACAAGCTACTACATGTATATATGTGTGTACATCTAAGTGGTTCCCTTGAACAACTGGCACATACTTTGCGAAAGTTTCTGTTTTGGTTCAGTATAGATAATTATATTTTCTGTATCAGTTACAGTATAAAGACTAGAAAGGTGTTGTCACGCAACGGATGCCCCGCATGCAGCCAAAATCTTAGTGAGCGTAACTCTGTCAAAAATCATCGAGCCATGTCAAAATTGGAACGTGACCAGCGCATTCCTTTGTCGTTGAGTTGAATAATTATGTACTTCTGTTGGAGAGATAATGAACGGAAACTGAAAATTTCTTATTTTTGCCAAAAATCACCGAACCGTATCCAAATTCGAACTTGACCTGCACATTCTTTTACGTATCCATATGTCAAATTTAAGTTTAATGTGTACTACCGTTGAGGAGATAATTAACGGAAACTGAAAATGTCATCAACGGGCATAACTCTGCAAACAATCATCGGACCATAACCAAATTTGAACTTGACCTTCATTTGACCTGGGATATTATATAATTATTACCCCTCACTTTTTTCGTAACGTAAGTTTCCTATAGACCTCTGGGATTTATTTTTACTGTTACTACAAATGTACCACGTGACTAAAAATTTTGTACTGTTACATAGGTTACAGTATTTTTAACAATATAAAATTTAGTCACGTGGTCTATTTTCTAAATTAAATGAAATAAAATGGCCGCCATTTTTCTCTCAATTTATTCTTATTTTCAACAATAGGGTCTAGGGCATCACCAAAGTACCTATGACTCTCATAAAATTTAGTTCTTTGTACCCTAGAGTTCTTTTGGGGTATAAAATAACTTTTTGTTGAATAGTCAAAAAGTAAACATCCGTTTTCAACGGAAGTAATTGTAATGTGAATAATTTTGTGTCAAACTGGAAAATGCAGACTATTAAAGCATGCAACAAAGGATTATTTAAATTTTTAACCAGTGAAACGTTACAGATAGAGTTGGTGGACAAACATCTGTAGGATATCATCGTTATTCATATTCATATTTATAATTGTAATGGATTGTTGTTTTTTAATGAAAAGAACAAATTGAAGAAATTATTTAAATTTGTATGATCAAATATCTTTTTTCGCATCAAATAAAGAAATTAAAATATTTAGTAGGATATGATACTAGATGAATTAGAGTTATGATGAATTTTTAACGACTGAATAATAAAATCCGTATTTCATTATTAATTTCGTCACGTATGATTATTTCACGTTTTATATATGACAATACACCATTAATATTTTGTCATAAAAGCAGAAAAAATAAAAAATAAATAATTGTTCATAAGGTCTCTAGCTCAAAGTTTTCGAGGTTTTCAAGGTCATCTGCATCTTTTGATTTAACCTTTAACCTTCTAGAACCGATTTTTGATTGGACTGTGTTACCATTTAAAAGAGCTTAGCCAGTCTGCACATCCGTGTACATTTTTATTGTCTATTTTCAGCCAATACACACTCGCCAAGATAGAAGATCTCGCCGAACATCATTCGCGCATTGTCGTGAATCTTCCTTGAGAATGACGACGAACTGTGAATGCCGAAAGCTGTCGGATTTCCGCGAACAGTTCCGAAAATTACAAAAGGACGAAACTGCAAAGAAACCATGCTGCATCTGCGACAAAAAAGTGCCAAAGCGAGGTTAAAACGCCTTGTTCCTATGATCAGGATAATGAAAAAATACAATTGGAACACGGATTTTATTGCCGACATGATATGCGGTCTGACCGTCGGAATCATGCAGCTACCTCAAGGTATGGTATATCTTAAAAGAGAATTATTCAAACAGGAATGCGTTACTTTTTATTAAGATTCATGGACATTTGGTTTTCCTCTATTATGAAATTATTTCTTCAGTGTATTTCAAATAATACCAGTATACTGATCACGTTTCTGAGTCTGATTCCTGCTTTTGATCATTTTGATGACTATGACAAAATGAAAAAAAAACATTGGTAGTAACTCGAACTTGGTAAGTTGAGAAAAAAAGATAACTATCAAGCCATCTTGAATAGTTTAATGCATTTTTTGTCGGATTATTTTCGAATAGATAAGCCAATTTGAACAACAACTACTATCAATCTTACAAATCGCAAGTATGTACCGGTACAGTTGTCTCCCTTGTCTTTTTATATTCCAGGAATGGCGTACGCTATGTTGGCTGAAATGCCGCCGGTTGTCGGCCTTTACATTTCTTTCTTCCCTGTTCTAATATACTTCATATTTGGTTCGTCTAGACACATCTCAATGGGTTAGTATACGACAATTTAACAATTTCCCTAACTTTATTAAGAACTTAGGTTAGAGATCATTTTTTGTATAAACAATATTCAAAAAAAGTTTAATAATCATGTGTAGAAGGGAGCTTTCACATACTGAGGAACTCAGTTATTATGAAATGTTATTTCTTTAGACATGAATCAAATAAGATATTTTTAGCCAACCATATAAAACGGAATTACACAATAGGAACGTTCTTGTCATAATAACTTTGAACATAATTGCTTACGAAGACTGACGGAAAGGGCCGAAGAGTTGCGATTTGGCATTGCATTCTTGATTCAAATAATAACATTGTCGAATAAATGATATCTATATACTATTACAGGAACTGTTGCGGTGGTCAGTCTACTGACCGGTTCTGTAGTGGCAAAGTTTTATGTGGATGACAACGGAGGTAACAGGGACACGTTGATTGGCAACTCGAGTCTCATCGGTAACGGCACATTAGATCCGTTTGAAGACTCAAACTCTGAACCTTTTCTGTCGGACTCGAAAAAACTAGGGATAGCGATGACGATCTCGCTGCTTGTTGGATTCACACAGGTCTGCAAATGAATTAGTCAAATTTCTAGTTTTCAATGTGAATTCTTACCATTGAATTCCAGATAAATTCGATTGCATGCAATTATTTTCTCTACATTTTATAGTGAATAAAATATGATTTCTTACAACCTAAGCATTGTCTTTATCTAGTCATGCAATTGTTATATAAGTTGTATATAGGTATGATAACTCTCATAGGAGTTATTGAGTTATTTCTCTTTTCTTATTTATGGTTTGGTTTTAAATAATAATGCGGTAAACTGGATATTTGCCAGAGAGAAAATAAATGGGAAAATACATTATTTTAAGATTGAAAGAGTGGTTTACTATTCTTATTTAAAAAATAATAATAAAGTGTTACACTGGATGCCCGAAAGAAAATAAAATGAACAAAAGACATAATTTTAAGATTAAAGGTTGTGTTGTATTTCAGATAATCATGGGTGTATTGAGGCTCGGATTTGTCACAACATACATGTCTGATCCTCTAATTGCCGGGTTCACAACTGGAACAGCTGTTCACGTGGGTACTAGTCAAGTAAAGTATATTCTCGGTCTGAACATCCCTCGTACAGACGGCCTCTTTCAAGTTGTCAAGGTATGTAGCAATTGAGAACGAAGAAATAATATAAAACAAGGCAAAAAATAAAATAAAATAGAAGCATCGATTTGAAGATTCGCGCCTTTAGCATTTCATGGAAGTTGCATAATTTCCAGTGCCTTAAAGTAGATTTATATACAGAGAGTTATATCATTAAATCATAAATACATTAACATAAATTTTACAAGTGCGCGCCTTCAAGTATGATATCTATCCTAATCTTTTTATTTGTATTTTAGAATCTACGACACTATTGTAATAGTAATATAATACGTATAAATAAATTTTGGTGAAATCTTAACGCTTTTTACTACCTATACATACCTGGAGTGCAGGTTTTTGTTAAACACACTACAGTTACCGCACTGTACCGCACATTTTTTTTCGGACAGGGGACATGTTTTTATTTTTGGCTTTGATACAAAAAAGAATTAACGTCAAAACACTCGGCAATCGCCCGCTCGTACAAATCAGATAATCTATTCATTTTATGCTCTTTCTATTACTTATTATATTAATTTAAAAACTGATTAATATAACGTTTATTATAAATATCTCATATTGTTTTCCTACTGAAATTATACATCAAATGCAAATAACGTTTCGATTAAACTAACTGAAAAGTATTATGTTTTTTTTTACAAGACATACAAGTTTATCTTTGAGAGGATCACACACACTAATGTGGCGACCCTGATAGTCTCGTTGATCTGTATTGTCATCCTGTACCTGGTGAAGGTCCAGATAAACCAGAGGTTCAAGGCCAAGCTGAAGATACCTGTACCCATTGAACTATTTGTGGTGAGTTACTTTTATATATTGTTATTCATAATTTAAACAACGTTAAGCTATAGACATCCCCTTACGTCTGTTAACTGATCGTAGTTTACACCTTAGATTTCACAATTCAAAGGACTGCTAACACACGGGGGAGGAAATGGAGTTCTAATGATAACTTGTCAAGAAGTTCTTGCGAAAACTATTGTATATACTGCAAAAACACTCGTTTAAAATGGTATTTGTCGTCTTTAAAAAGTGAGTTTTAGGTCCTAAATTAATCGTTAAAGATTAAGCTTGCCTGACATATTGTATTATGTGTCAAAAAGTAATTCATAGTCCATTTTTCATCGCCTCTTGCTTAAAATCTGGTAGTTCTGAGTAAGTAAAAATTCCAAATTATTTGCCAATTTGCAAATATTGACCTGTTTATTTCGAGTTTCATCCTTGCCATACATAATTCCCTTATAATAATGAAAAATGTCCTGGAGTTCTTATGCTAACTTTTGTTACTGCCAATGTGTTTCTTGTGCTTATTTACGGCACGCTTTAGCGTTTTTTATTATTCAATTAGGTTGTTAATCATTATGAAATGTAGTACGCTCATTATTTTGCACAATAATGAGGATAAATAATGTTGGTTTTAAGTATATTTTAGTTAAAGAGATTTTACTGAGATATCTTATCCCCGGTTCTATTTTTGGTATTTTTGCTGACGCAGATTTCGTACACTGGAGCATTTACTTTCATGATAAAATGCGCTTAAGTATGGTGTCTTTATGTAAATTTTTTGCCGATGTTTGATGGATATTTCACCTATGTAATCTTATTGGAGGAAATTTTGTTAATTTTGATGTGATTGATAACAAAAATATATTTTAGTGAAACTTATTTCGCTCGAACCCAGAGGGACCGAGAGATCGGTAGTTATAGAACCAACTGCAGTTGATGAGTTTTTATCATATTGTCGTACTTTTTGGAAACCTAGCTTTGAAGAAATAATCCTGGTTTTATATATATATTTGTTTATTATGGTATAGAATATGATACAAATAACTTAGCCCTTAGATAAGCGATGCACAACTAAAGGACATGTTTTGAGTTATCACAAGAACTCCGGGACATTTGAAAAATCGGGTATAAATTTGTAAGCCGGGCTTTAATGATTGCAATTTTGCATTATAATTAGGTAATTATGAAAACTCGAAATAAACAGGTCAATATTTGCGAAGTGGCATATAATTTGGAAATTTTACTCAAAACTACCAGATTTTAAGCAAGAGGCGATGAAAATGGACTATGAATTAGATTTTCACACATAATACATGATGTAAGACAAGCTTAATCATTAAAGTTTAATTTAACCCCTAAAACTTACTTTTTAAAGATGAAAATTACGATTTTTGACGAGTGTTTTTGCAGTATATACATTATACTTTTCCGACGAACTCAGTGACAGTTATCACAAGAACTCCTTGACATGTTATCATAGGAACTCCATCCCTCGTGTAACACTTCCTCCCCCGTGTAACATACTGAACCGTTTTTGTTGAGCCAATTTTTTAAACTTTACTATGGGCGGTTTATATGGTTAGTACCAGCTCTATTTTTATACAAATATTGGTTTCTTTGGTCAATAAAAATTGTTATATTACCTCGGTAGACTGGACGCTATTCGTTGCGTCAGTCTTGTGATCAGGTGAGCGGCCTGTTTACTGGCTGTTTTGTCGTGATCAACGACATTCTCCAAAGTTACGTTGACAAAGATAATCAGTCTGTGCCAAGGTGTGTTTGAGCTGCCTATAGATGATCTCATTTCTCTAAAAATCATATTAAACTTGCATCTGCTCTCTTCAAAATGTGTGACTTAATTTCAACGTCATAATCAACGTCATTGTTCATACAATCGTATATCATATTCATTCTTTATCCTTGCGATAAACATATACAAGGAAATCTTGCTTCTTCACCAGCCTCACATTGAAAATGAATTTTATACGATAATATTTATTAAGAATGAAGTCTTTTTATGTACATGTACATTAAATTTGTGTTCCAGGTAATAGTCGGAACGGTAACATCATACTTTGCCCATTTCAACGAAAACTACTATATCAAGGTCGTTGGCATTGTGCCAGCAGGGTAAGTCACCGCTAAATTTAGTTACATGAGATGTGCGAGATTATGTAATTATTGATCGATTCTTAGTACATCATGCTTTTACGCCTAATTACCGCTTTCACTTCTTAAAGACAGGAGACAGGATGAAAATACCTGTGTAAGTTTTTTTTTCCACAGGAACTTAAATTGTATCAAAAAATCAACATTAATGATGACATCCAAAATACACACACTATATAGTATAAGTAAAAAATTGGATATTACCATTGGTATTGGTTATTTGATAGAATTTCAAGTTCTTTTTTTTCTATGTTTTGTGACATAATAGGTTTTGCTATGCGCAGATTTGCTATGCGCAGATAAAAGCGGCGAGGAAAGACCTTACAAAACCCCAATCAAATAAATGAAGACAAACGCAAACAAACAAACAAGGTGCGAAAGAAAGAAAGTAACAAATAAATTCATGTCAATTATAATAAACACTAATACAAAAAAATACCTGCACGCAGGGCAACTCGTAACAGTTATCACCAAGAAAACAATACTAGGTCACAAGACACCTAGGTCAATATAGTAATACCGTAACACGTTAATGTTTTTGTTTCAAATTTGTCACAGAAACCGCGACATTAAGACATTGATTAACATAAAGTTTCAGACGACTTTGATACCTCTATCAAATACAACTTTCTAATGGTGTGTCATATGTGACCTGTGTAGATAACTTGTTACAATGTCATCTGAACAATGTGTAAACACAGTGTACAATTCAAAGGTTATCTTATGTAATGAAAATAAATGAAAAATGTGATGACTTAAAGAGTTGTAATTAATTTCATTTTTGTCTGAGTATACTTTGGTATGTTATTAGTTTTGCCTCTGCCCTGAATGATGATATTTTGATAGCGTATCACTTTTTCTTTTTTGCACAGACATAAAACAGAGTGGGCAAAACAAATATTATTGACATAAAAGAATATAAATGAATATAAAATATAAAATATTACTTTTCATTTGAAAACTGTTGTATAATTGTAAAAAAATAACTCTGATAGTTTTCCCAAAATTGTTAAGAAATAAATTTGATTGACACTCACTTGTTTGCATTCATGCCTTCACCTATTTTACATCTGCCCGTATAGTTTGATCACTTGTCCCAAAAATGCTCATGATTCACTTTCAGACTTCCGGAACCGGCGCTGCCATCATTTGAAGGTGTGGATAAATATATTGCCGATATTCCAATCATCGCTATCATCTCCTTTGCTCAATCTGTGTCGCTGGCTGCGATGATGGCGAAGAAAAATAAATATGCCATCGATGCAAACCAGGTGAGGGTCTCTCGCAACAATTATTTGAAGTGACATTTTGCTCATTATTTCACTCTCAAGTTGACTAAAATTAGTAACATATTTTTAAAATGATTGGCTTTTATAATGATGACTGATCAATAATTGGTAATAAAAAATGCATATGATACACTATAAAACTTCCTAAATTTAAAAAGACTGCCCAACTCTGTTTAGGAATTGAGCGTTATTGATACGTTCTGAACAATATTAATAGAAATTTCTTTTGGTAACACGGATTCATGATTAATTGTTCATTCATTGTAAAATATGAAACTGAACACGATATTGGCAAAATGTCAAACTATTTTTATGTTATTTTGTTCACTGTCCATTTACACTTGCATGGGCATAATGTCACTTTGAATTACAAGTATTCTTAAGTGTATAGATATATTGTAACGTTGCGGCATTTTTTATAATAAGCTAGTTTTGAATAACGATTATCGTTTACTGAATGATGTTAGGGTTACTTAACTATTATGTTATTCGTTTATATTGCGACAATGTATTTTAAGTTACGGTACTTTACAATATACGTTTGGTATACGTATTTTCAATGAACGTTTGAAATCATATAATGTAATAAACGTCTCATAGATAGTGATCATTCTAATCAGCCACTGAAAATAAAGTCATGCTTGAGCGCTCATCTCAGCAGGTATAAATACGGCGATTAGAGCAAAATTACTAAGGGGCCTCCGTGGCCGAGTGGTTAAGGTCGTTGACTTGAGATCACAGGTCCCTCACCGCTGTAGGTTCGATCCTCACTCGGGTCGAAATCTTTCATGTGAGGAAGCCATCCAGCTGGCTTACGGAAGGTCGGTGGTTCTACCCAGGTGCTCGCTCGTGCCTGAAATAAAGCCCGAAGGCAACTTGGGGTCTTCCTCCACCAATAAAGCTGGAAAAAATCGTCGAAAAAATCTCGGCGGGACGCTCTAGGATGGCCCGACTTGAGTGTACGGTCGACCATATGGGCTTTCCGGCGGCGACCTTAAATAAACGCATTTAAAAAAAAAAAATACTCGGTCTTCTCACTTCCCCTCGGAGCGTGCACGTCGCTGAGAAGGCACAGGGCATCGGCAGATGATTGAAGAATTGTGTATCGTTTAAGCCGGCAAATTCGCATGTTATCTTCTACTCGGGGTAACGTTTAAGCCAGCACGAATTAGACAGACTACGTGAAGTTAGCTGCCGGTGTCCTGACGAATGCCGAGGGGAGTGGCCCTACAAAGTAGGCGCGCTTGGGTCGACGAGGATGGTGTGCTAGAGTGCGTGAGCCCCTAGCACGGTTAGACGGCTTGAAAGACAGGCCTATAGCTGGCACAAACAACCCTTTTCAGGGCTAAACACCTTTCCTATTGTCACAGGTTACTGTACATTTAGGTTCTCATTGACCGCCGTACAGTGACCTACTTTTAGCTCAAAATTCATATCTTTGGCTAATAATCCATTGAAATTGCATGCAGGTAAGTTATCGCCACTTTGTGCTTCAAAATTAACTCTTAAAGGACATGACTGGTGACATGCCTGGGGTCCATACTCGACAGCGCAAGCTGCATTTTGTGCCCTTACGGGCGGATGGACCCTCATTAAGCATAAACAACTGACTGACTGAAATTACTCGGTCTGCAGAGGAATTCATCGGGACCAGGTTATTCTATGTAACAGACATAGAGGTATATCTAATTGAAGCCTATATAAAATAATAATTGGCCAAAGTAAATATTTCCATCTGAAGCCTCGCTCCATGGATATAGTGTCGTTATATTAAAATTTGTGAAATTGCATTTGACTCTGGGTACTTATAGACCTCTACATTTTCTGAAAGCCTCGCTATCAGGGAATTCGTTACATATAAGTATTAAAAATCCAGACATATGTAAAATAATATAAATATTCTATATATTCTAGCTGGAACTTTGTAGTAAATCCCTACCAGCAACTTATCTTTCTATCTAAATAGAAGCCTCGCTTCATAGATAGATAGGTAATTGCTTGACTATAGGAAACTATCGGGTTGCGGCTTGATATCGATATTGAATTGGTTAAATTAGTGTTTTATTAGGCTGTGAAATTGTTGTATACTTGCTCACTTAAGTTAGTATTTTAGAGTTTATTTGAGAAAACCCTTATTAATAATTTAACTTGATTGTTTTTGATATTTGATCATTTAACAATCATTTGTATTTTGTAATCAAACGGCAGATGGCCCAAAGAAAAATTTATTATATATTTGTTGTACATTCGCTCGGTACACGTTACAATATATGCTAAAAATGTTATTTTGTCGTTTAGAAATGTAAGCCATTGACATGAATCAAGATAACATCAAATTTGTTTCCATTTAAGGCTAATGTTATATACATGTAACCGTTAATCAAATAAAATTTAATTAATGAAACCTTTTTTTTTTTCATAAAAAATGTCAAACTTATAGCAAGTTTATCTTTGATTGAACCTTATTCAGAAACTTGATCTCCAATTCATCTTTATAATCAGGCTTGCGAGCTTGAGTAGAACATACTAAAAGCAGGAATATATATTGTATAGCTTACGTAAAATGCATATATTTTGAAATTTATATCTGCTATAAAAACATAATTGTGAAAGATACGAAATTATGATAAAATATAAATAACACTTGTTTTATCATTTACTATTTTCAGGAGTTGATAGCGTACGGAGCTGGAAATGTATTCGGATCATTTTTCTCGTGCTACCCTTACGCTGCCTCCGTGTCGAGAAGTTCCGTACAGGATTCTGCCGGGGGTAAATCTCAGGTTCGTTCTATTCCATTATAACAATGTTTGAACCCCATTTTCCACAGTAAAAGTGTAAGATCTTAACTTTGATGTTCATATGTGATAGCAGAAAATGAGTGAGTTTTATTTAAAATATTGTCTTTAACCGTACCGTGCTTGATGTCGCCATAATCAACGATATCTTTTCATACGGATGTATATAGTAATTAAATATTTTTTGTTTCTAGATTGCAAGTTTATTTTCCGCCAGTATGGTACTGATCGTGATACTCTGGCTCGGACCTTTGTTTGAATCTCTACCGAATGTAAGTATGAATGAGAGGAAGTAAATTATATACCCGCATAGTCATACATATGTTCTTTTCTTTACAAAGAACAATATTGACCACATCGACTTCAGAAAACTTGATGTCAGATTCTTGTAACAAATATAATAATGTCATCTTTGCAATGGGACTAACGTGGATCAATTTATAATTTAAATTCATATGATTAATGCATTGGCTATGAAATGTCTGACTAAAGTTCACATCTTCTTATTTCTTTTAATGTATTGCCTTCTTAAGGAGCTTGTTTTAATCAGTTTGCGGCTATGAAATCAATGTTATCGTCATAGTTACATTTTATGACGTATTTATTCCAGTGCGTTTTATCAGCGATTATTGTGGTTGCATTACGTAGCCTTATTCTGCAAGTGCTGGAATTACCCAAAATATGGAAAACTTCAAAATATGACTTTGTGAGTATTATTCGAATACATTTCTATAATATATGTTAATAAATAAGTGATTTGATATTGGCCCTGTTATTTGTCCGAGGGCAGTCGTATTGGCCCATGGCCGAAGGCCAAGGGCCAATACGACTGACCAGAGGACAAATAACAGGGCCAATATCATTTCATTTATTTATTGACAATTTTATTAAATAACTACGTGTACTTATAATATTTCACATTTAATCCTCGGATATTTCTTCTAATTTTAATTGTAACATATTTTAATTATAACAAAGAACAACTGTAAAAATATCTACATTTTATCAGTTTGTACGGAAAACCTACATTTTGTAACTTATATTGTACATGTACATCAAAATGAGAATATTTTGTTTCACTTATGCAACCTGTCGGCGTCTAAACATAGACCAGGTTAAAACAAAATGGCTGCCATTTCCCAGTTTCTTGAAAAAATCTATATCATTTTTTGGCCCTGCTTTATTAGCCAATCAAATTACGGGGCCGAAAAAGTGATATAGATATTGGCTCTGTTTTAAGGCAGGCCATCGTGTTTTTGAACGTGGCAGGTGCTTTTTTACAGGACTTATAACGTATAGTTATTTAATAAAACCACGTTAATATACTTACGTTCGACTAGAAGTTGTCCAAGCAAGACGTTTTGCATTTAAAAGAAACAAGAATGCGTATTTCGTTTTGTCATAACTGTTAAATTACAGCACCTTTTTAAAGATAAAAAGTAAGAAATAGTAGATTAAAAAGCATAAGTGTTTGATACTGTCCCGTGGAACCATTGTGTACAAGTATATATTGCCATAAAACCGCATCTTTCTATTGGAACATGTATTAAAATATGTACAATGTATCGACTGTCGATGGTTGGCCTTATAAACAATATTTTTATTCATTACAACTGCTAGTACTTTTTCAAAACTAGTGTAATATTTTAAAACTTTTGACTTAATCGTGTCACTGATAATAGAATAATAATAATAATAATAATAATAAAAATAATGATAATAATAATAATAATAATAATAATTATAAAAATAATAATAATAATTATTATAATAATGATAATATTTATAATTATAATAATAATAATAATAAAAGTAGTATTAATTATCGTAGTAAGAGTAAGAGTAGTAGTAGTAGCAGTAATGATAATAATAATGATGATAATAATAATAATAATAATAATAATAATAATAATAATGTTAATAATAATAATTATAATAATAATAATAATAATAGTAGTAGTAGTAGTAGTAGTAGTAGTAGTAGAAGTAGTAGTAGTAGTTATAATAATAGTAGTAGTAGTAGTAGTAGTAGTAGTAGTAGTAGTAGTAGTAGTAGTAGTAGTAGTAATAGTAGTAGTAGCAGTAGCAGTAACAGTAGCAGCAGCAGCAGTATAATAAAAATTAATAATAATAATAATAATAATTTCTTTGGCACGTTCTCTATCTCTGTCAGTACATTTGGGTGGTCACGTGTCTAAGTGCTACGCTATTACACGTGGATTACGGGCTTATGATTGGACTCGTGTTTTCTTTCTTCACAGTGGTGCTACGGACACAAATGTAAGCTCACAATAAATGCTAGTATTTTTCATATGAACAAAAGCAAAGTATATTTCCTACATTGCAACTCTTAAAATGATATTTTTATTCCTCTGTTATTCTGCCTATTTGAAAGAATATATTTATATATTTTGATACTCTTTGATGTTGCCAAATTTAAAGATTCACTATGCTCTTCTTCTGGTAAAGTACTTTAATTGCAGAAATTTATTTATTTCAAGGAAATTCTTACTGAATAAGTATAATTTAAATATAAAAAAAATCCACTTTTTTGGAAATTGCATTTAATGTTATTTGTGAAGATAATTTGGTCTTAAAAAATAATAACAACAATAATAATGATAAAAATAAATAAAATAAAAACAATAATAATAATAAACACTTAAAAACTGCTAGATTTTTTAATGACACTATGTTCTAATACTGTTATGCTATTACTATTACCTATAATATGTAGAGTTTAAACTTTGTGTTAACTTTAAAGTAATGTTTTTAAAAAAAAGACTTTATCACAATAATCAACATTTACAAATATCAAATTTGACCACATTATTCTTTTATGCATAAAGAGTATTTTGATCCATTTTTATCATACGAAGAACATCTGTTCTTATAATTACTACTTTTATACTATTTTTAGGGCAAGACCAACCAGACTGGGTAAGATTACCGATCAGAACGTGTACAAAGACCCAAAGAAGTACTTACAGGTAATATACTTAAAGATTGGTATATATTTTGAATACATGCTTAAAGTAAATCAAGTTTATTTACTTTCTATGAAGAGAATAGTTCAGTTTAAGGTTTTATTTCTTGAGAAGGACTTTCATTTACGTTTATTAATTCAGCTATTATTTTAAATAACTTATTATTTTGAACTTGTTTTGTTAAGCGGTGTCAAACAAAGTTGGAACACAGTTACGTGGTCGCCGAAATATAATTCCGCTGTTTGAATACAAACACGTGGTTAGAATACAACAATAATTTACTTATAAATTTTCGGCGTTCAATTGTATGTGTATGAATTTGGTTGATTTAATGAAAAAAATAAATAATTCTACAAAACAGCAATTTTTCTTCAAACTTATATGTAAGGCCATGTTTAAACATGGAAAAACACGATTTTGGGTAATTTCAGGTATTTTCGTCATTTTTTTGTTATCCCATTACACGATATACACACCTTTTAACGCCTTTTTCAACCCCCATCCCCCTCCGTCCCTTTTTGTTGTCACAAATGGTGAAAAAATGCCGTTTTTTAGGCCCCAACACTTGTTTTTGTTTGAGAAATGTAGTTGCAAAAAGTGTCCACTTTTTCGGCGCGGGCCCCCAACCAAAAGATACATCAAGGGGTTGCCAGAAGGGGGATTTGCCCCCTTCTGTTTGGGGGGTTGAAGGGGGCGGCAGTCGCCAAAACACATCGCCAAGAAAATTTTGGACTTGTGAGAGGCTATAAATGACCCAAGATCGATCATAGGGTAACGTGTAACCAACGCTGAAAAGCATTTGACTCTATCTCAATCCATTGAGATGTTGCAGCACTTTGAAATTTAAGCCTGGGCATGTTGTTACAAAGGCAATGTTCCAGTTAACATTTGTGCCAAGTTTGATAAGTATTGAGGCAGTTTTTTTTTATAGTTTTATAGCAATTTGAACTGGTACCGGAAGACTTTCCAATGAAAACAGACATTGTTTACAACATGCTCATGAAGTAATGGGTTTAATAACATGTGAAAGTTAATTCTCTTTATCTTGTACGATCCATCCATGAAATAATTCTTAAACAATTCCAGACCTCTCAGTTAAGCAACGAAGTCAAGTTGATTGGTTACAACTTCCCAATCTACTTTGCCAACGGAGACCTCTTTGTCCGAGAAGTGTATCGCCTATCAACCATCAAACCAGAAGTGCTCAGGAAACAAGTTCTTAGAGCGTCTCTAAAGCGTGAGAGTTTAGGACGTAGTACGACGTCAATAAGCAACATGGGAACTAACATAGGGAGTAATAATGTACGTATTAGTTGTATTGATCAATGTGAAGTTCATTTGTATTATGCATGCTACAAAGAACAAGGCATTATATTTTTTATATTGGCAACAATGTTGGTAATATACTGTTAAGCTTTCCTTACAGAGATGTACTTAATGATCTGTGTTAGATAGTCAAGCGTAATTGGATAGAACGAATGGATTCTAAAATATCAATAATGTTAAGATTAACAATAGCAAACATGTGCTGTTACACCTTGTTGATTTAAGTTTGTATCACAATGCCCAAGTTGGGGCGTCCGTGGCCGAGTGGTTAAGGTTGTTGACTTCAAACCGCATGCCCCTCACCGCTGTGGGTTCGAATGCCGACAGGGACTTTGGATCATTTCATGTGAGGAAGCTATCCAGTTAGCTTATCGAACGTCGGTGGTTCTACTCAGGTGCCCGTTCGTGCCTGAAATAATGCACGGAAGGGCACCTGAGGTCTTCCTCCATCAGTAAAGCTGGAATGTCGCGATATGACCTATACTGTGTCGATGTGACGTTTAACTCAAAACAAACAAAAAAACAATGCCCAAGACTTTGCTCTTTAAGGAACTTATTTAGTACAATGCTTATTTCAAGGTTGTTATATTATGATTCAGAAATTAAAATGCGCCTTACAAGACATGTGTTGCTAATTGATTATGTACCAGGATACTGCTTGCTAATTATCACATGTGATCCTTATGATATCTTATTTTAATTATATTCCTGTAAACGCCTTTTGAAACAAAATATTTGTACACACAGGCGATTGTTGAGATTCAAAGGCATGACAGTATAGCGTCGACAAATGGTCAATTACCCGAGATATATGACATCAACCCGTTCGAATTTGAGATACCTCTCACCCATATCATTATTGATCTCTTGGCGGTGTCTTTTGTTGATAGTGTAGGCTGCAAAGTGATCAAAACTGTAAGTTCAAATGAATTTAATACTAGTGTCGCGAAAATTGATATCAAATAATACAAAAAAATAATTATATATTGATCGCCGTGGACGAATTGAATAAATTAAACTAAACTGGAGTAAGGTTTGATGTGCCTATAGTTGACTTCATATCGAGAAGCTAAGAGTTCAATCTATAGCTACGTTAACGAGAAAAAGAGAAAAGAACCTTACTTAAGGATGAGACTTTTAACCGACTCATCTGAAATAAAACGCCCATATGAGTATACTATGGAACTTATGAATTAGAGTATACCTCAAAAATGTAATCGTGTTTCAATGTTTGCTTCATTTTTAATGCCAAAATATCACTTTGTTTGATGATTTAAATATAAACAGCACCATATATAATTCTTATGACTAATATCATTAATTTTTAGCATATTGGCATATTATTTTTAAACGATCGTTTTAGCCATTTTTTGTAGTATACATATACTATAACACATGCAAGTCCGGTTAATATATTGAAATGTTTTTTTTAATAATTTTCAGCTGATTGAAGATTACGAGAATGTACACGTGAGGGTATACCTAACTAACATTTCGGGTATGTGAACCTTACATAGAGGATATTGAATGAGTGTAGGTTTAATACTAAATTTATTGAACGAGTTGAATAAAATCGTATTATGCGAGCCTCTGGCGAGCATAATATTGTTTTATTCAACGAGTTCAATAAATTTAGTATTGAATCTACACGAATATAATATTCTATTTATCACATATATAAAATAAGAACGGTAAACTGTTAACAAGAGTCATTTTTCTTTGACGCGCCTATAGTGTAACGCTAACATTAGCGCGCTTTAACGCTATGTTTATAGTGCAAATGACGTGACGTCAAAGTGTTATTACACTAGTGTAATATCGTCTAGTGTAATATCGTTTTTATTAAATGGCTTTATTACACTCCTGCGCCGCGGTTTATGTGATAAACACTGATATTGCACAAACCATCAAAACATGAACGAATACAAATATTAAAGCAAACCATTGTAATGATTTTTAAAGTCAGAAAAAAAGTTCATAAAGCAAAAAAAAATACTTATAACTTTCTAAAAAATGGAAATATAATATATATACATAACCTAAAAGCTAATAGCATTCTAATATGTTTGACCCCTATTGATACCATAAAAATTGGAAGAAAAACAACGTTACGTAATGATGATCTTTTAGATATTAAGACGAGTTACTTCCCTTTATTACCAATTATCCCGAAATCATATTCAAAACATTAATGTATATTACAGTTGTATCTAGATTTTGACCTAAACCAATTGTTTAACATGAAAATGCATGAAGCTAAAATTCAAAGTTCCCTAAGCATTTAAATTCGGCATTTATTTCGAATATTATGCAGCAAAACACATTAAGGAAACTCTTGTCCATAAAAGGAAGAAAAACTGTTTGCATCTTTGTTTCTACTTTCTGTGCGGTTTCTTTTACTTGTGGTTAAAATAGAGGTGGGCAATATGGGATCAGACGAGCCTGGGGTACTAACAATGGTGTGAATGTTGACAATTTACAGTTACTTCCCCAAGAAATAACAAAAGTTAATCAGCGAAGACGTATAGAAAAATCACTCAGCATGTGCAATGTGAAAAACTTAATCCGGGTAAATCTTGAACACAATACAACAGTAAAAGGCCAAACAAATATAAAAATATGTTTAATGAACACACGCTCAGTGAAAAACAAAACCCTATCCATATGTGACTTTATTCTCTCCAATGAGTTTGATATATGCGCCATAACTGAAAATGTATGGCTGGTAGTTCGTTGATAAGGTGTGTATCAGTGAACTTGTACCTCCTGGCTACAAAATGAAACATGTCCCGCGTGTTGGTAGGCGAGGTGGTGGTGTAGCTATCATACATAAAGCTTCTATACAAGTCACCACTGAGTCGTCAAGTCAAAGCAAGGAATTCCACAATTTGAGTTCATGGACTGTAAATGTAGTTATTGGGCGGTACTCTATGAGGCTAGCGTAATATACAGACCACCTCCTTCTAAACAGAACGGCTTGAATACAAACACTTTCCTTGATCATGAGTGGCCCGTTTTCTTAACTAAGTACGCTACAGTTGACAAATCTGCAATCATAGTAGGCGATCTGAACCTTCATCTAGATATACCAGACAACAACGATACGAGAAAATTTACAAGTAACATTGATGCATGTGGTATGCATCAGCATGTACAAGAACCAACCCATGTTGCAGGTCATACATTGGACGTAGTGATATCAAGGGAAACAGACAACATTGTATCAAACATAGAGGTCGTAGATCCTGGACTCTCTGATTCTAGTGGAAATATCTTACGTGACCATTTTGCTGTTACATTTTGATGTCAAAGCCTCAAAACCTGCACCGGTACGGAAAATTGGTTTCTTACAGAAAACTTCGCGCAATTGACATTTGATTTTCTTTTCGAGATGACATACGAAAATGGATTCTTCAACAAAGAGTGTATCCCTTCTAACATAGATGGTTTTATGATGGAGTATTCAAGACAGTCTAACCTCTATTTGGATAAACATGCTCCGATCATTAACAAGACATTACATTGAGGACCTGCTTGTCCGTGGTATACAGAGCAACTCCACGAAGCCAACATGAAAAACGTAAACTGGAACGGAAATGGCGTGAAACTAAACTTACAATAGACCAATCAGATCTACAGAACACACTGTTCTAGTGTGAACAAGATGTTAAAACAAGCTCGTGCAGACATACTATACAAGTAAAATAGAGTCTTGTGGCAATGATCATAAAAGTCTATCTAAGATTACCAAAGGTCTACTTGAGATACAAATGAAGTGATTCTACCATTTGATTCATCTTCAGAGCGCCTTGCCCAGAAATTCAGTGACTTCTTTATCGGAAAGATTTGAAACAATAAGGAATAACATACGTTCTCAAACACAATCGGTACCGGATAATGTAGATATGGAATCTGAATATACGGGTGTCAAATATACTGTGTTTGCTCCAAACCACAGAGCAAGAAGTGAAAGCATTTGATTAAAAAATCAGCCACCAAATCCTGTGAGTTAGATCCCATTCCAACATGGCTGTTAAAAGAATGCCTAGATGAACTAACACCAGTGATAACCAGTTTTATAAACGTGTCCTTGGATGCTGCTTATGTACCAAAAATGTTCAAACACTCACGAATAAGACCACTTCTAAAGAAACCAAATTTAGATCCTAACGAACTGAAAAACTATAGGCCTGTGTCTAACTTACCATTCCTGTCTAAAATCTTGGAAAAGGTCGTTGACGTACGACTTGAGAGCCATCTGAAGACAAATGATCTACACGAGGTCAACCAATCTGCTTATCGCAAGTTCCATTCGCCCGAGACTGCATTGTTAAAAGTTCAAAATGACATTCTACGGTCTTTGGATAATAACAATGCGACTATTCTCGTGATGCTTGATTTGTCTGCTGCTTTTGATACAATTGATCACGGAACGCTCCTTCGCCGCCTTGAACGAACACTTTGGAATTACAGGCAAGCCACTCGCATGGATGACGTCATACCTGACCGACCGATACCAGACTGTATGCATAAACAACAAACTATCACAGCCGGTCCACATGGAGTACAGTGTACCTCAAGGGTATGTCCTGGGACCCAAGAGCTATGTGAAATCTGCCGTAAACATGATCTAAACAACCATTTCTTCGCAGATGACTCACAACTCTATCTATCCTTCAAACCAGTGACTAATATTTCAATTCAAGAGAATATAAACCGTTTGAAAGATGTTTTGAAGATATTGTAAGTTGGATGAATGCCAACATGCTGAAGCTAAACGGCGATAAAACAGAGTTGATCATCTTCTCATCTGAAACATAACGCACAACCTGTTTTCAGATGTTACAGTAACAGTAGACGGTTCGAAAATAAGCCAATCATCTAGTGTGCGCAATCTTGGTGCATTTCTTGACTCGAACATGAGGATGGAACAACATGTAAATAATGTCTGTAGGAACTGTTATGCACAATTAAGACAAATCGGTCACATCAGACCCTATCTTTACTGTTAAAGCAACCAAATCTCAAGTAAATTCACTTGTTACTTCTAGGTTAGACTACTGTAATGCACTCTGTTATATGGAGTCTCTAAGCAGTCAATGACCAAGTTACAACATGTTCAAAAATACAGCAGCTAGAAATTGTGACCAAAACACTCAATATATGACCACATAACACCTATCTTACGTGAACTTCACTGGCTTCCGGTAAGAGTATCGGGTCGAATATAAAATTTTGACTCCATACATATAAATCCCTCATCGATTCAATCACCAGCCTATATAAAAGACATGATAGACGTGTACATCCCAGTCAGAAATCTGAGGTCCTTCAGAATAACTCAATGACATTAGTTGTGCCTAAATTCTCGGACAGTAACGATATGGTGACAGGTGCTTCCAGACAGCCGCAGCGAAATTATGGAACGCGGTTACCACCTGACATTAGAGACTGTAATACCTTGCCATTTTTAAGAGAGCTCTCAAAAACACATTATTTCATAAAGTTCTATGGACGTTATTCCTAAATCAAGTTAGACTACTTCTGCTATTTATTATCAGTGTTAATTTTAATTTTGCCTTGATTTTAAACTAAATGTGTCTGTTATTTCTTACCATTCTTTACTTGGTTTTAGATTATCATTATTGTTTAATAGGTTTACTCAGTTTATGTTGTAATCATTATGTCTTATATATATATGATTATGTTTTATCGGATTTATGTAAAGCACTCTTGAACATTTATTATTTATGAAAAGAGTGCTATATAAATGTGGTATATAATAATAATAATAAATTGTTAAAAACAATAGTATACGGCTTATAACAGTTTAATGCGGACCGGTATTTCTTCTTTCAGATGAAATCTGGAATGTATTTGAAGCAACAGAAATTATTCCGGCGCGGAAGGATATCATGTTTGTATCCCTGGATGACGCTATAGAAGCTGCAAGAACCGACAGTAAACCGGATATAAGAGAAAACGGATTAAGTAAAGTAGGTAAATGAGTTGACTTTAGAAAAAAATTGTAAGACACTGCTAAATGACAGCAACAACATCATTATCATCATTATCATCTAACAACAATAATAATAATAATAACAAACACAACAACAAAATCATCATCATCTGTTCTACTTGCATTGTGCATGGATGATCTAAAATATGTAAATAAGAATCATATATTATGTTTTGTTAATATTTATATATTTCAATATCCGGTAATAGGCTATTGCAACAAATAAAATACTTTTATCAAATCTTTTAATTTTAACGATAAATAATTAAAAAAAATAAAATAAAAAAATAACGCCGCTTCATAAGAAGCTCACATGTGAAAACGTAGAATATTTTAGATCCGAAATATTCAAAACATTTTAAAAATAACAGCATATAAAAAAAGACAATGCTTTTTTGTAACACATACATGCATTTTTTGAAACCATAAACAGGAGAAGACCACGTTTTTGGTGCATTTTTTGGCTATATTAAAATTTCTATTTATAAGTTTATTTTTTTGTATTTTCTTAAATTTCATTGTTTTTGTATTTTGTTTTTTTGGGTTTACGTACATCGACACAGTTTAGGTCATATCGCGACTTTTTCCAATTTTTACTGATGGGGGAAAGCCTCAGGTCCCCCTTCCGTGCATTTTTTTGGGCACGAACGGGCACCTAGTATAACCACCACTTCCGTAAGCTAGCTGGATACTTCCTCACATGAAAAAAATCAACCCCTGGGGATTTGAACCCAGCGGTGGGGGGACGGGGTTTGAAGTAAAACGACCCTTAAACCACTCGGCCACGGACGCCCCTTTTATTGTATCGTAAGTCCAGAGATGTAGCAGTAGGATGTTATATTAGACTTCAGTGTTCAATTTGCAAATGCTTCTTATTTGCGAACCTGTAACTAGGCGTGATTTATAGTTACAATTTAACTTTAAAGATCCTGTTATGTTGTAATTAAGAGAAATTTTATATATGCAATAATTATGCTTCAAAAAACAAGTTTCAAACATCGAAGAATATTCGTATTTCAAATATGTACTGAAAATATTTGCTCCACATTATATATGTTTTCATTAAGATATATTTGCATTTATTTTTTATTGAAAATTTGACATAGACTTTATAGAAAATAAATCTGATTACTTCCTTTTATTGACAAGAAAATGTAGATTTGGTAATATCTTTACAAATGATGCTTTTTGGAACTTACAATATTGATAATTCTTCATTTGAGCATTATATTTTTTGATATTATACCGTTAAAATTGAGTTACAAGATCTGTTAAGTTACCGCGGAAAGGGCAAGCTATGAAAAGTATGAAAAGAAAAAATATACTTTATAAACAACATTGACTTTAATTTAAATCCATGTCAACCAAATATAACATGAAAATGATTGTTAAACCTTGTGTATTTAAATGAAAATTTGCTCATTAAATGGGGCTACTGATTCATGTGAAAAATATGGACTAATAATATATAAACTTAAAATTTTATTAGGGTTACAAGGTATATGTACAGGGTCATCTCAGTGAATGAAACACGCTTTTATTGCATTATGTAGAATTTAGAATACTAGGAGCCATATTCAAGAACATATTTGAATCTGAAATTTTAGCTTTGACTACTTAAACACATTTCATTATCTTTTATTTGAGAACAGTATCTATAAAATTTATTATTCTTTGCTGAACATATCCGTGTTCTTTACTTACTGTGAGAAGTTGACATAAACTGAAGATAACATTAAACATAATCACAGTTTTTTGTATTTTGTTTGAATTTATGATCAATGTCAATAAAAACAATATTTTTTCCTTTTCAGATCTCGTTCATGTAAAGCCGAAGTAATAATAACATGACTGTAATCATTACGTAGATGATTCACATGCAATTCAACCTGTGACTGTGCGACCAGACCTTACAGAACATTTTTTTACGATACATTTTTTTCCCGTCGGGAATTCTATTTTAGATTTTATTCTCCAAAACTATAAAATATGTGAACTTCATTTGTAAAACAATACTTTTTTTTAACAATTTACGCTGTATTCCTTTGAAACAGAAAGTTTATTCGAACTTCATTACCAAACGTAGGTAATGTAACCTCTCTATCTGAAATACCTCGGGATTTTAAGCATGTTTACGTGGTTCATAATAAATAACAGTTATTCCTAATTTCATTCAATACAAACTAGTTATAAATTCTTCTAACTAAATCTAAAATAACGTGTTCAGCTGCCTTGAACATAATTTATAACATGTATTATATCAATTGGCATTAACTAGATGAGTTGCGACCTTTATAATATTTTGCATGTTACTTTCGAATCGATGGACTGACATTAGGTTTTCGCTAAAAAATTTTTTTTTTTTTTAGAGAATCGAATAACGAATTGATGCTATAGATTCTCATTTAAGAAAGAATATCGGTCTTAGCGGTGTTTATCGGCTATTTAACACCGGTTTGGAGTTTTGATGCGTATAAATTGACCACGAAGACAGTAGGCCTGAGTGGTTAATTCTTTCGCATCAAAACGACAAAACCGGTGTTAAATAGACCGATATTATTTCGATTCTAACACGATAAAATAAGGAAGATCATTATTGTTATTTTTCCAAGCGAAAATTACTTCCGGTGCCGATTTTCGTATAACGCTGGCCGATTTTCGCACCCTACTGTTGCGAAGATATAGAAATTATTATTTTATTTTATCAAGTTTTCAACAATAAAAACTTACATCGTATTGCGTTTACATCAGTGCCCCATTTATCAGTCTTGTATGTATGAAATAACGTCAGCTTGTTTATGAATGAGTTGTTTACTTATGCCTACGTCACATTACAAGCGGGGACCGGCCGATATAGAGGGATCGATGGGACACCTTTGATAATTTGAGATTCGGAGAGAAACATTTCAATCATGTGCGGGAAGAAGTTGGCGGTCATTTCCCTTATGTTGTCCATAGGTATTCGGACGGTTTCCGAAGGGTACTCGCCCGGTCATCCAGTGAAAACCCTTGGCAGTTCTTTCTGGACACCGGTCGATATTCTAAAGGTAACCGGCAGACTACCGTACGATAAATGTCCAATTGCCTTCCGTTATCTGGCCTGTTTGCAACAATCGTATTATGGTGACGGTAAAGTATATGTCCGATATCTGGTCGGCTGTCGGACGGTATTTCGTATGGCATGCTATCCCATTTTTGGGCCGTTATTCACAGGCCCACTTTTGTGTGCATTTTTCATTGCCTCTTTCCCCTCTGATTCCCCCCCCCACCCCTTCTTGGTGTTCTGTTTTGGATAGTATATTACACTCTGAAATCAAAGTTTTCCATAAAGATTGTAAATGAAACTTTGAAACTTTAAGGAACCTCTGACGTGTGTGATAACTGAGAGAATATGTGTGTGTAACTGAGTTTCTTAATACTCGCCATAGGTTGCCCGTATAGGCGAGACCTCCAGAAGAGTATTAGTCGTTTTAGATTTTGGAGAACAGCGCAAGATACAGATAGCAAGATGCCATAATTTCAGAAAAATATAAAATAAACAAGATAAAAAAGGAAGGCGGCGTTCAATGAACGCAACAACGACACTATCCAGCAACACTAGATGACCACCGTCAAGGAGCCAAGCAGTACACCAAACAATCTTCTCCTTCTTCTTTACCTATCCAAGTGTTTAAGCACTTATACACGAGACTTTGCTTGAAAGTCATGTCCGAAAGATTCCTTGTAATTTCAGTTGGTCATCCAGGGAATCGAAACCACAATGTCGAGATTACAAGCATAGCGATTTAACCGATTCAGCTCTGCACGCTGGCTAATGAGAGACTGATGGTGGTATTTATGATTTACCCTGATGACTATGACAGTAAGCCAACTTGAATATACATACCAGAGCACAGTTCAGCCACCGTACCGTTCCTGGACAGTCGGCCAAGCAGTTAAACAGTAACAATATCTCTCACTTTCGCAAGGTACCGCTAACTTTGCTTTGTATTGCACTTAAGAAATATATTATCTTCATATTTTATGATTGAATGGTTACAGTGTATGTATACAATTCTTTTTTTTTCATCGGCGAATATCATGCACGTTTTGTGCTCTTGTACTTTATGTCAATACATTTTATTATACCGTTATTCAATATTATATAAAATATTATGAAGACATAGCCTACATTGTTTGTTTTCATATTGTAGCAAATAAATAGTGGACCAGATATTATGGTGGATGATTAGTGCCATGTCGTACTTTTGATTCGCGGAGCACCGGACGAAAAATAAAATACGATAAAGTCAACATTTTGTCATATTTTCGCTCCCCGAGTCGCATGGTGAACATACTATAATAAGATCAAGTCACCACTACTTCCCATGTTTTCAACGATTATATACATAATTATATTCATTGTACGATGACATCTGAATGACATACGTATTGCTTTATCACTGTGGTGAAATAAAGACAGCACAATATACATTAGAAGATAGTTAAGTACACGTACACAATTATAAATCATACAAATTCAAATAAGGCATCAAAATACATTGAAACTGTCTGTAGATTTTTGTTTTATTTGGCTCTTTGTGTTGGGTTTTACTCGTATCAACCCAATAGAGGTCAATAACATATGACAACATTCCAGCTTCATTTAATGGAAGAAGACCTCGGGGTGCTCTCCGTGCAATATTTTAGGTAGGATCTGGCACTTGAGTAGAACCACCGACCGTAGCTTGCTGCATAGCTTCAAAAGACCCGGAGTGGCTTTCAAACCCACATGTTAGGGGCGGATGGTTTGAAGTCAACGATCTTAACCACTAGGCGGCCACGGCGCCCCTAATATTAAATTAAAGCTTTGATTCATCTGGGAAAATGTTTACATATACAAAGTTATGAAATCACCCTCAATGTCAAACGGTTACCGAAACCGAAATTTGAAACAGCTTTAATGACTTGTTTCATGAGTTTTAACAGGCATAACCGTTTCGTTTCGCAAGTTAACATCATCTTAGAACAGTTAGAATTAGGACAAGCAATGCGAAAATGCGCTAAAACAGCCCGCATGTTCAAACGTGTTTTCTTCTGAAAATTAATATTCCCAAATTAAATTTGTTTTTACACTTAGAAATTTAATTGATTTTTTGTTTGTTTATAGTTTGCTTCTCCGGAGTTGTGCCGCCTATATTACTTTATAAAATCACAAAAAGGAATATGGCGGTCAATGTTTACATTAAATGTACATTGCAAATATTCCGATAGACATTTCGACAGTACAGCAACTATTTCTGAGAAGGGAAAACAAACTACAAAAGATACAAGAAAGTTGCGTTCGCTTTATTATTCAATAGGACGAAATCAGTCGAAACATATATTGGATGGTTTAACAATACCTTCTCCTCTGTTGTGTCTACAATAAACATCAGTTAAACATCAACAATTATTACTTACACATTGATTAAAATAACTAAATCATAATCAGTTCAAATTCTAACATTTACAATAAATCATTTCACATTGACAGTGTTGGAGCTGCGGAAAGAATTCATCTTAAATCCTACTCAGCAACTGCTTGAAAAACATATACCATACATTTGTCATGTATTCTTTTAAAGCTTTACCGTATCAATGAAGTATTTATTTTGTTACTATCCAATCACCAACATTTAAAATGTCTCTTTAATGTAAAATGAAAACAAAAATTCTGCGATTCGTTGAATGATTGTAAGCATGTCATGAAATAACAAATTATTTATTTTAATCACGACATGTCTTTTTCAGATAAATCAAGTTTATCAATAAGCATCAATATTAAATTACAGATTCTAAATAAACTTCATAGCCGTTTATAAACTGATCAAATTTTCAGAAATTACATTACACTTTTAAAGCTTTTGCAGGATCGCTTTAACCGCGTTCATTGTCCGTCCTGTTTTGATTCAATTTGACGTTTTCCAGGGTATCTTTTAAATACCAGTTTGATAGAATTACAAGATCTTTGTAAATTGAAATGTTTTAGTAATTTAAAACATGTTTGCGGTAACCATATGAGAGACACACATACATTTCAGATTTGTAATTTAGTAAACTGATATTAACACATACTCGTAATAGTGGATATTCAAGTTTGTTTCGATGAATACAGGATTTATTTTCATCGTTCGCGTGTGGTATGAAAATGAATATGATCATTTTCATACCACAAGGATTCAAAAAATAACAAAAAACTTGAATTTTCTGTTCATTATATGCTTTTCTCTTTTTGTATCTTATGATTTGAACCTTTTAAATTTGTGTTTTGACTGAATTTAAACTGTAGTCCAGATAGACAAAAGTGAAAATACATAAGATATGATGGACTTTAGTAAAAAAACAACATTTTACAGTGAAAATACGGAGAAAGAAATACGCATTTTATTTCATCAATATTTCTTGATATTTCATTCATTAGTATATATTAAATTTCTATACTACCATTTCATATATTTCCGTTTTATGTGCCCCGTTTGATATATGTAAGATTTTAAATTTCTATAGTTTTAGGCTTTTGGACATCAGTGATGCTCCTTTAATATGATATTCAAAGATTAAATATTGTTCTAGATTGTCTAAAAAGATGCGATAATTTCAGTGTTAACTATGGTGGCTGATTTGTGCCATTCGTGTTTTCGCTCCGCGACCCCGCCAAGCGAAAGAAAACTCGAGAATTAACAAGTTAAAAACGCGGGGTCGCGGGACGAAAACACGCTAATAAGCGGGTGCGTGGGGCGAAGTTTAATAAATAAAACTTCGTCCCGCGGGGGTGCGGAGCGAGATTTAAGTAATTAAACTTCACCGCGCGCCCCCGCTAAAAAGCATGTTTTCGCTCAGCACCTCGGCTATTTTAACTAGTTAATTATCGACATTTCGCTTGGCGGGGTTAACTTTATTTATTAAACTTCGCCCCGCGCCCCCGCTAATTAGCGTGTTTTCGTCCCGCGACCCCACCGTTTCATTTCTTAGATT